GGGGGGCAGAGGAGAGAGGAGAGAGGAGAGCGCGGGGGGGAGAGGAGAGGAGGGAAAAGAAGAAGAGAAGGGAGGTGGGTTTCGCGGGGGGGGTAGAGGGAAGGGGTAACAGGGCGGGGAAACCAAGGTACTTAGGTGGGGGAACTGCTGCTACCAGGGATTAGCGGGGAAGCTGTGCGCGCTATGGGGACATTGGCGGTAGGCGGACGCTCCGCAGGGCTGGGGAGAGCGATGGATGCGCTGGTGGCGCGTGTTGGATGGCTTTTGGGCATGGAGGGTAGGAGGGGATCGACGGCGGCGCAACGGATGTCAGGCGGAGGCGGCGGGATCGCAGCTGTCTATGGTTCGGCGGGGGATGACCAGATGGCGACGGCGCCGTTTCTCCGCGTGGCGGCGCAGGAGGAAGAGCAACGCGGGGAGCAGGGAGGAGGAGAAGAAGGGCAAGAAGCGCTATCACGCGAACGAACAGAGGTTGGCCATGATGGGTATCATCCTCCTCCTCCTCCTCGTCCTCCTCCTCGTCATCATCATCATCATCGGCATTACCACGGGGCAGGAAGAGATCTCAACATCCGTGCGGAAGGAGGGAGCTATAGTGGCCATCATGGCGATCATAGGGGGCAACTGGTGCGCTCCCTTGGGCCATTCGAGTTGGTGTTGATGGGGATTGGCGCGTCCATTGGCTCGGGCATCTTCGTTGTCACAGGTGTCGCGGCGCAACAAGCGGGGCCGGGTATGGCGACCTCATCACCCACCATCACCCACCATCACCCACCACCACCCACCATCACCCACCATCACCCACCATCACCACCACCATCTCTGTCTCTTCCCCCGTTAATTCTCTCCGTGTAACTCTGGTCAAAGAACGTAGTCAATTGTTGTTAGTGGCATTTGGTGCACGGGGCCGCCATCGCCATAAATTAACTTGTCATCATCGTCGTTATCGTTGTCCCCGCGTCGTAGTCGTGATCATCATCATCGCCACCAGCATCAGCATCCGCGTCCTCCTCCGCCTCCTCCTCCTCCTCCTCGTCTTCGTCGTCCTCGTCTTCTTTGTCCTCATCATCATCATTTGTTATTGTTGTTGTTGTCATTGTTACCATCCTTGTCATCTTTATTATCGACATTGTCGTTCTCAATCGTCAATCATCATCAATCGTTATCAATCATCATCGATCGTCATCAATCATCATCAACCGTTGTCAATCATCATCATTGAGCATCAATCATTATCACCACTCATCATCAATCATCAATCATTATCAAACGTCGTCAATCGTCATCGTCAATCATTATCTTCAACAATCGTCATCATCAATCGTCGTCAATCATCATCGTCATTAATCATCAATCATCACCGTCATTAATCATCAATCATCAATCATCATCGTCATTAATAATCATTATCATCATCATTATTGTTAATTACTGTGCTCGATTTCCCACCACAGAGCCATCACCACGATGATCATCGAGGTTCATCGAAGGTCATCCATCTAGCAGCGGGAGTATCCTCCCCTTTCCCCTACCCGTTGGAACAAAAAAAAAAAAGGAAAAAGAAAGAGATCGGGATCGGAGTAGAGCCTGTATGTGCACCATTGTTTTTTACAACAAGGGCCTCTTT